GACCCTAGACCCTAGACCAACCCCTCGCCATCCCCTCACCCGAAACCGGCTGCCTCTGCTTCGGTGAATATCTCAGGCTCATGGAATCCAAAGACGCCTGAACCCAGGCAGTCTCCAGATCCTGCGGACCAAGAGCTTGAGGGTTTTAGGATTTACGGCTTCGGGTTTTGGGTTGAACGACCAGGGGCGGCATCGACAAACACGTTGCGTTTGTACGCAGTCCAAGACGCGTGCCATTTGCGGTAATAGCCTGGCCTTGTATACGTCGAGAGAGTCGCAGCTTTTGCGGAAAGCAAAGGTCGCTGCTTCCGCTTTTGACAATTTGATACTGGCTGCCGGAAGATTCCAGCAATAAAGCTCTGCACAAACTAGATTTACATCCAAGCCATCTTAGTGCTGAATGGAAACGACCGAATTGAAGAGAGCTCCACCGAGCAGATGGTCTGCATCACGGATTATCGGACCAAGGGGCACCGAAACCCTAAACATCCCCTATATATATATTATATATTATATGTTGTACATTATCGTTTATCGTACTATGTTATGAAATATTGCGGTATGTTACAGTAGATCATAGAACCATAGTATATTATAACATATTGAAGTATGTTATCGTACCTTAAACCCCGAACCCCACCTCCTCGGCAAGCGTGGACGTGTCCAAGATCGTCAGGGGGAGCTCGTGGATGGGGTCGGAGCCCGCGTTCACCCACTCATTGAAGGTCACAACAGCGTGCGTCCTCGGAGACAAGCAGAGCCTCAAACCTAAACCCTAAACCCTGAACCCTCAACCCTGAACCCAAAACCCTAAACCCTAAACTAACTTGAGGGCTGAAACCCTCAGACAGCTCGAGACCAGCGTCAATGCCTCGGAAACGTTCATGCCCAGCTTTGCCTCAAATCCTTTGAGGGCGGAAGCAGGAAAGGCGCCACCCTCCTTGAACCACTCACTCACCTTGGAGTCATGGATTTAGACGGTTTAGGGTTTAGGGTTTAGGGTTTAGGGTTTAGGGTTTAAGGGTTTAGGGTTTAGGGTTTAGGGTTTAGGGTTTAGGTCACCGCACATCCCTTTTCAGCACTGCTCATTGCATCATTGAACTGGTGAGCACAAACTCGAATCGTGGGCGCGAAAGTTGTTGAAATCTGTTGTGCACTTGCTTTGGGTTTAAGGATCCTTCTGGGATTGTCTGAGCTCGTGGCACTTGTTGCATCAACGTGGGCGATCGGCAGGCCCTTCATCCCTAAGCGGGTGTGGCGGAAGTTCATGGAGAAGCACGCCCCCTGGCACTCGGATTAAGAGGGCTGATACACCGCACCACTCATCTTAGAACAGTAGGAAACCAGTCTGAGAAACAGTCTTCCTTCCGTCCTTCTATTGCCATTGCTTCGGCATTTCAACTGCGATTCCAGCGTGGCTCGTTGTTATTATTACCATGGGCATTTGTGGCTTGTGAATAGCACCATCATGCACCCCTACCTTGGTCTCCGTTCCAGTCTTGCGCTTCCACCATTCCTCGCTGGCCCTCTCCACGCTTGCTGCCAATTTCTCCGACAGATCAATGGCCGTCTTCATCACCTGCAAGAAGTGGCGAATTCCAATGTGATCAAAGACCAGCAGTCTTACAAGAGAGAGTGGTTGATCGCTTCCCCCTTTCATTCAACACACCCCCCTAATGCTAAAATCACATTGGGCCGAAACGTCCCGAAATCATCCCTGCCCTTTAGCACCTATTCTGAATTAGGGGGAGGGTTTCAGGGCTCAAAACACCCTTGAAACCTGCCTGTGCGAGCTGCCTCATTCTCAAGCTCCAAGCGCAGCATGATCGCTTCTCTCTGTCTCTTTGTCTGTCTTTCTCTTTCTTTCTGCGCTGATTCTTACTGTGACTTAATTCCTAGTTACTGGTAATTATTGCTGTTCCTATTGCTATTGTTATTCTTACTAATGAATTAGGCACTATTGCCCAAATATGACAATTGAAATAAACAAAAATCTCCCTAACAGTGAGAAGACTGTCCGACTTGTTATTGAGCGGGGGTCCGCCCCCGTTTAATATCAGGGGGAAACCATGATACAGTGGTTATATTCTGCGTAGCTTGCAGTGATCCTGGCGGTCTGTGCAGGACACCCAGTCTAGGGAGGTGATGCCGAAACTGCTCTCTACGGTTTAGGGTTTAGGGTTTAGGGTTACCTCTCCGTCGGACTGCTCTGCTAGATGGCACAGTGCCTCCACAAGCTCAGCGACTTCGCCATGGACACGATATGTTCTGTGGCCGACTACCTGGAAGGCCAGAATCAAACAATGCCGCAGCCGTGTAAGAAGCCGTGAGTGCCGATGCTGCATGCAACTCTCACACCACGTTGCGATGTCCTCGCCGCTGAACTGCTTCCACACCTCTTCCTGTAGAGTTGGTGCGACTTGCATTCTTCTCCGGAATGGGAAAAGCCAGCGGTATGATCCGAGGCTGCTGCCCGCTGTTCGGGTGCCATCAGCGCCAATGCTGCGCCTGCAACGATGTGGCGGTCTGATCCCCCTGCAATAGCGAACCACGAGGCAGCCGGTGTAAAACATGCTGCCAGCTGCTCGAACTCTATTTGGTTGCCCCGGGGAATTTCGCACATGTTAGACAAGACACTGAAACTGCTTGCAGAGAATGATTGGTTGCAGCAATGCAAAAACCGACTTGAAGACCAAAAAAGGGCTTGCGGATTGACAAGTGCAGATTCCCACCGAATCGAACCTCCTGAAAAACCCCGCAGTGCTGAAAACCCCGACACCACACATGCCAGGCATGTTGAATTCCCCCAAACCCTAAGCCCCGCCGGAACCTGTGTGCATTGCTGACGCACGTGTAGTGACGGTCTCTCTCGGACTCATCTTCCTCAGCTTCGGCACCGCCGGCAAGCCAAGCCGAGCCGCAGAAGGATCAATAATGCATCTATTCGTTCAGCATCACCTTGCAGGAGGGGTCCTTGCAGTATGCTAAGTTCTCTTCATGATTCATACTCGGGTCCATTATTCGGACTTCCGGTTGTCTACTCCGGCCTTGGTAGCTGCAGTGCTCACCAGCTTCCCTGCTGACATGAACAAACTGATGTTGGCTGTACAACCAAATTTCTATTATACCTATATATATGTATATATATATACACACATACATACATACATACATACATACATACATACGTATATATATATATATGCGTAATATCTTTAAGTGTGCGATAAGCAGCTATAGTATATTGTAGTTGTAGTTTCTTACAGGACACTATGGTCTCTTGCGGCATATTCTGGTATACTATGGTATATCATTGTATTATAGCATAGTACTCGACAAGACGTTACAACATATTGAACATACCAAAGGATACTGTGGGACATTGGGTAACACAAGCTTGCTGAATGTGTCACAGTATTTTCAGCTAGATTCTGTAATGTGTTCTAGTATATTACAGCGTGTTGTATCATAGAAAGGATTTCGATACACTGTAGCATATTGTAAGATATTATAGGGCGCTATGGTACACACATTACTGCACCCGTCTAGTATATTATCATTTGTTGTCGCAGACTATAACCTGTGGTAGTCAACTAGAGCATGTTGCTGTATGTTTCACTATGTTTTCCAAGTGAGCACTTCCTTGAAACTACTCGCTAAATTGCTAGTATCCTTACACCCAGAGTATATGCATTCCACTGCATTGCCACCACAGTGCTCTTCGTACACGAGCTTCACAGGCAGAGGGACCGTACTGAAGTTAACCGGCTCGTCGCTGCTGAAGTTAACCGGCTCGTCGCTGCAATTCACCTGGAGAGCCCCGCTCCACGGGTTTTGGGTTTAGGGTTGCTTCTCTGCATGCCCTAGTCAAGCTGAGCAGCTGGAGACGACTCAGCGGGCTGACCTGTGCCATATGTTGGCTGCAAGCTGCGATGAAAGCCAGGCTGGCCATACAACAGCATGACCCCATTTTGCTGAAGCTTCCCAATAGCTTCAATTACGATGCTACTCTGATACTCGTGATCGTAAGCATCATCTCTTAATGACGACATTGCTGAGCTGTCTAGTGCACTAGCGTCCACGTGAGCCCACGCACAAGTTTGAGGAGAAGCTCTTGCACAGGTACGATTGGATTGTCGCCACGCCTCCCTTGCAGAAATTGTGACGAAGAGTTTCTTGACAGTAGCAAGGTACGGCATTTAGAGTCGAGCATTCCCAAGAAGCAGCCTGCTGACAGCTCGACAAGATGCTTTTGTGTGCTCCAAGAAATTCTAGAGTCTAGAATTTATTAATGCATTGTAGCATGTTATGGTATAGTACGGTGTATTATGATGCAGGCTTTGGGACTGAGGCCTCGAAGCTTTTTCACGGATGTCTTCTTGGCATAAGGCTACCCGCATCATGTCCCACTGAGAACATGCATATAGCTTCGGGATACTCGGTATCATGACAGCCGTTGTGATGCAAAGCCTTCATCATCATCATCATCATCAGCATCATCATGATCATCATCAACGACAACAGCAAGAAGAGAAACAACCCATCAGCTTTCACTGAATTCACCAGAGTAATTCGTTGCTTGGGGGTGCTTATTGAAGTGGCAAGACAGGACCAGCAACAGCCTCCACCCCGAAGTCGGGACCCTGATGTCACGGAACGCCATGTATCACCGTGATGGCAAATAGTGCAGCTACTGGTGTTCTCAGCCCCGACAGACCATCTTTCGTTCTGGCCTTCCGAATGACTTGGTGAAAAGAGATACGAAGCAGCAAGGGTGGCGAATGCACTGTGATGAACAGTTGTGTTTTAGTGTAGGGTTTAGGGGTTTAGTGTTTGTTGCCCAAGCAGTGCTGCGTTGTGGTCAAGGCACACAGGTAGAGGCCGACAAACTTCATGCCATCCAACCGTGGTGAGTTCCATGGCTCCAAAGGGAATGACCCACTGTAGAAGAGGTCTTTGGTACAGAGCGATCCATTGAATCTGTCCTCCGGGACAGTCGCATTTCAAGGTTTCGCAAATTGGGCTTCTGATCCACAGGCATATACGAAACCATCAACTAAAACGTGCGGCCCAGCGTCGCCGTGTAGGTGATCCGACAAGTTCAACAGAGCCTCTGTGGTATTGATGTAGCAGCTGAGGTTTTCAAACACGACCTCGTGCAACACAATTTCGCAGAGGCTGAACACCACACAGGCAACTCAGCTATGCGACGCGTGTACTCACGTCCTGTACAGGAGCGATTTACATTTGGATATTTCAGACTTCCAAGGTATATCAGCCATTCCAAACCGAAAACTGGTACATAGGAGAATACGAGCGCCATCCAGAGATGACGTTGCAGGTGAAACACAAGACAAACAAGGTCAGAAAACAGATGTGCCAGATCGAAAATAAGATCTCACGGCCGGGGCGAGAAGAGGAGGTGAAAAAATAGAAACAAACAACGTTAACAACAAATTCAAGGTGGAACAAAACGATCCCCCGCCAAGGGAAGACTACCGCCACGTCAAAAATCAGACGTCTGAAGCCGAAAGGCACAGAACCGGTGGAAGAATGACATGTGCGCGACAACAGAGCCCCGGATCTATGAAGCAGAAAGACGAAGCCCCAAACCACTAACCCTAAATCAACAACCCTGGATTAAACCACAAATGCGAATACAACTTACCTTCTCAATAACGCCTGAAGATCAAGCGCTGGACCAAAGTCCCACAGGAAAAGCCCAAATGCTAAACCCCGTCTCAATGCTTCTCAAGACATGCAAGGTGCCGTTTCTGTTTTGAACTCTTGCTTCACATCTTTCCGCTCCATATCGTGCCTGCAGTCTGGAGGTCCGGGCACCGAGGTTTGAGGACTGAACCCGAAACCCCAAACCCTAAACCCTGAACCCTAAACCCCTAAACCCGTAAACCCCGAAACCCTAAAACCCTAAACCCCCTAAAACCTAAACCCTAAACCCGGAACTCCGGATCTTCTAAGCTCCTTCTCTCCTTCTCTCCGCACCCCAAAGCTCCTAGACTTTTCGAATTCCTAAACTCCCAAGGTTCCCAGCTGCTCGTCGAAGCTGTGGCCAAAGCTAGTTGGGTTTCAGGTTTAGGGTTTGGGGTGAGGGTTTCGGGATGTAGGAGTGAGGGTTTAGGGATTCTGGCTTACGAATTGTCGGGGCGAAACCCCTAAACCCTAAACCCTCTGAGGCCAGGAAGCATGAGTTCATCCAGCGGCTCCTTGAGCGCACCGGTGCTGTCCATCTCGAAGCCTGACGCTACATGGGTTGAAGCTGAGGGTTTAATCAGGGCTCGGGACGATGTAGTTCGGGGTTAGAGGTGGGAAATTCGCAGTTTAACTCTTCAGAAATTATGGAGAACCGGGCATCCGGGTTTCATCAAAGACCAATAGGAGTAGAAGTTGTTGTCGTCGTCGTAGCTGTCGGCGTAGTCATAGTCGTACTCGAGGTTGCATTCGTACCCGCAGTCATCGCTGTAGTCGTAGTCGCAGTAGTAGCAGTAAGCAGACATGAGAGGGCAGTAGCCGTCATCGTCGTAGTAGTAATAGCAGCACCAGCGGCAGCAGCAGTAGCAGTAGCAGCAGCAGCAGTGGCAAGCAGCAGAAATGGCAGCAGCAGGAGCCGTAGCAGTAGCAGTATGAGTGGCACAAGAAGAAGCAATAGTAGTAGAAGAAGCAGAAGCAGTACTAGTACTAGTACTAGTACTAGTACTAGAACTAGTAGTAGTAGTAGTAGTAGTAGAAGTGGTAGTAGTAGTGGTAGTAGTAGTAGTAGTAGTGGTAGTGGTAGTAGTAGTAGTAGTAGTAGTGGTAGTAGTAGTAGTAGTAGT